GTGACGCTTATCTTCTGAAATAATTATAACGTATGCATTATTACAAAAAACCTTTGAAATATTAGAAAACACTAGATCCAGGTAAGTGCCATGTTCATTTAGAGTACAATTGAATTGAAAGAGGTTTAAAGAACCTCTGGATTCTCAGAAATAATTTTCTATGTTCCTCAGGTGCAAAGTTGTCAAATTTTTGAAAGATAGATAACTACTGTATTTGTTACTATGCCAAGAAACCAGGTAGATTGTAGTCACCAAATAGCATCTGTTCGAAATCAGGGTAACTTACATCTAACAACTCTATGGTTTTACAATGAGATAACATAACCTCTTCAGATACATAGAAAGGAAAATAATTTGCTCCAACAATAACATCAAAGATTGTGTTAAGTATGCGAATAAATATATGTTCAACATTACTACATGCAGGAAGTACAAGACTTTGATAAATATTTTTAACAGCAATGAGTACACCTCCACCTCTTGCAAAGTCACTATTCTGAGGATATCTGTCATTTCTGTGCAGAATGAAATTTCGCAACATTAATTCATAGCTAAGAATTTCAGGAACAAGCCATGCTACGGTGAAGATAACATCATACTCATCAAAAAAGTTACTAAATTTTTCAACATATAATTTTATAATTTGATTTAAAACTCTGACATTTTGATAACAGTATTTGAATTGATTTACTAGTTTTTGAAATCTTATCCCTAATATCAACAATTTCTGGCAGTTTAATAATATATTTTATAGTTTTGGTAACTTTGGTTTTATTATGATCAACAAGTTCACACCTCAGTTGATTTAATTTATTTCTATGCATCAGTGTCAAGTCAAAGTTAATTTTGATGAGATCAACACAATTTATCTTGTGCTTTAAACTTTTAATAATCGACTGATGCTCAGTCAAAACCACTTTGACCGAGCAACACTTATATCATTACCTACAAATTTCTCCAGATGATAACAATTTACTATAGTTTTCACATCAAGCTCACAAATATCAGTTAACAATTTAACAACAGTATCAAAATAGTGTTTAATATTATCTGATACTCTCATTAAGGATTTGACTACGGTATAAATAATAACATTTTTTTGCAAACATTTCTGTTCTCAAGCTCATTGATAACATCAGTGGGATTGATAAGTGGTATCTGCAGCGCTTGGATTAACAGTAGCACTTTTCAATACGATCAAGTCATTTTCTTTTTTATCAATTCTCTCGACAATTTTATTTATTTTAAAAACTTTGGCAAACAATTCCGTAAGTTTAGATAAAACCTTTGGCAAGACTAAATCCTGGATTGCAATCAGGACATTTGAATTCGAGCATAAGTTTTGATCTAAGCTCCAAAACCTTGATCTCAGATGCCGTCAATTTCGCACAAGAAGAATGACATGACCCATCAAAAACTTTTCTTTATTTTCATTGTAGACCTCATTGCAGATTGTACAAATATCATCTGCCATAGCTTCCAAAAAATTCAACATGAAATTTTCCAACAGAAAATATAACTTGAAAAATGTAAAATCAGTTTGTGGTGCACTGACCACTAAATACATTACATCTAGTTTTTAATTATTTTTAGATCATTATAATTATGATAATTATTTGTTGAATAGTATTAAATCTGTGAAATTATAACATGGTGTCCACTAATATCATTTGCTGTCCTTTATTAGTCTGTAAGTAAACAAGTTTTATCCACTTTTTAGTTACGAGGCCCCAGCAATAAGATTTTATGTTGAAAATTCACCGCTTTCAATACTTTCTCTTCCCACAAAGCAAGGGCAAAAAAGTAACAGCGAGTCAGATAGGAGTATTATGAAGATGCTTCCGACATGGCAGGTAGATGTAGGAATTGCATGCAAGATTACATCCACATCTAATGAGGAGAACCAATAAGCACAATGCTTGCTACCACTCCTGCTCCAATGGCCAGTCTCCATACCTGCGGCTTTTTTAAGTTTATTGTTTGAGTGTGTTGGCAAGTTCATGAAGAGCTGTGAGTTTTTAATCTGCTGTGTGCACATAAACTTTAATTTGATGAAAAATGACAATGTTCCTGGATTTTTCGAAAGCAGAAAATATTATTGTACTAGCTGACCCGGCAGATTTCGTCTTGCCTCACGATAAATAAAAGACCTAAACTTTTGTATAAAATGATTTTAAAAGAAACAAATCGTATACGTATTTAATAAAAAAGCATTTTCTGAATAAAGCATGGTTTTTATTATTATTTTCGATACAGCATTTTGCTTACTTACAAAACAGTTTTCCTGAAATACTGGCTATTTATCAGGTTTAAATTTGATATTTACAGACACACACTGTTATGATACAGTCTGTTAATCAATTTAAAGCTTTTTCATAAACTATATTTTTTGTTTTGTTTTGTGGTGCGTAAATAAACAAAGAAGACTGTTTTCCGACGCGCGAACACGCGACGTATAATTGTCCTTGCGCGAAACCGGGAAACTCTAAGTTAATTCCACAAACTTCTAACGACTGTCCTTGCGATTTATTTATGGTCACCGCAAAGGCCAGACGTACTGGAAATTGTAAGCGTTTAAAATCGAATGGTAAGTCCGTTGGAATCATCGGTATCCGCGGGATCAAGACATCCTCTCCTTTGTATTTTCCTTTTATGATTGTTACCTCAATGACGTTATTCATCAGCTTTTTCACAGCCAGTCTTGTTCCAGTGCATAGTCGAGGTTGATTAATGTTACGCAACATGATAACTGTCCTACTTTTAACTGCAAATTGTGAGGTGGTAATCCAGGCAATTCCAGTGAATTTAAAAACTCCGTAGGATAGTTGACTACATCCTGATTCATAACTGTGTCGACTGATTTGAAGGAAACCAACTTTCCTGGAAGAAAATTCTGAATAGTCGCATTGAGATTCTCGACATCTTTATTTTTCGCCGCCAATATTGCTCGTTCACCCAGCCAATTATGGTTATTGAACTTTTGCTCTCTTTTGAGTCTGTGATGTGACAAAAATCTATGGATCATGTGATGAATCCGGTCGAGGTGTCCACTGCAACTTTATTATTCCCAATGTCTAACAACTGCTTCGCAAACACATTTGCAGTTTCATCTTGTTGCAAAAATACTCGCATCTTAGTTGTTAAGTGGAGTGTTTTTACGTACTGCCACAAATTCGATGATTTTAGGCGTGCATTTAGTTCATCAGCAACAGTTGATCGGGAAATAACTGGAAGAGTCTGACGAAAATCACGTGACAACAGAATCATGGGCCCACCAAAAATATTTTGGTTGTCACGAAGATCTTTCAACGTTCTGTCCAGTGACCTCTTATGGGCCATTGCGCATTCATCCCAAACAATCAATTTGCATACCTGTAGGCTCTTGGCCATTGCGCTATTTTTGGCGATGTTGCAAATTGGTGTTTCGGTGATTTGCATGTTTAATGGTCATTTCAAGGCAGAATGTGCAGTTCGCCCGCCTTCTAGCAGAGTCGCAGCTATTCCAGATGAAGCCAACGCTAGAGCAACATCATTTCGCGATCTGATCCTCGCCAAAAGCAATGAAATTAAAAACGTTTTTCCGGTCCCTACGGGAGCATCAAGGAAATAAATTCCACCAGATCCACTGTTTACAGCTTCTATCAAAGTGTTGTACGCAATTATTTGTTGTTGATTTAATTGTGGAACATTTGTACGAACTGTTTCGGCCAATGCTTCAATGTCGCACTGTTGTTCTCTTTGCAACTCGTGGTTTAATGCATCGTGCATATGACGATTGGGTGCTGTCATTTCCAAATACTTTATTTGCCATCAATAAACACATATCTTCTATCATTCTAAATGTCTCATTGTAAATTTCTTCAGTCATTTGTAGTGTAGGATTCAAAGTTCGACGGCGCACACGATGCAAAACATCCTCAGACATGTCATCTCTATACTTAACCCACAAATCTTTTGGATTCGAAGGGAAACATGTCGATATGATAATCGCAAACCGTGTACGAATTTAATGCGGCGATGAAGATATTACGGAATCCTTGAGTGTATCAGTGCGAATCGTTCTCAAGAAAATGTAATAAATGACATGCCTCACGGTAAGTCGCACACAGCTGTTTATTAACTGTTCTCAGTTGTTTAAACGATGTCGGACCACGAACATTCACCAACAACAACCGCAAATATTAACATTCGTTATTTGGATGTACTGTGTAGATGCAACCCAGAGCAACTGAAGCAAATATATTTGGATGTCCTTCTACTTGTGTTCCTTGTTTTCGACGCTGAAACGATTTCGATGATGCGTTCCATGTGTAATAGCGTGGCATGTCAGCATACGCTGACATTCTCGCTCATTTAGCAGTAAAGTGTCACTATCACAAAATATCACACACACATTAGATCCTCCAAAGCGCACGTGAATTTGAACTTTATGCAGCGGTAATAAATTACAAATTGACTCTCCAGCTGTTTTGAAGGTTTTTCCGGCAATTATTCGAATTTTTCTCAACCTTTAAACCTTCCTTAGACCTCCTCGAACATTTCAAAACCAAGATAAGATAAATCCGTTCAGCCATTCTCGAGTTTTAACGAAACTAACGAACAGCAATTTTATATATATATATATATATGTATATATATATGTATATATATATATGTATATATATATATATATATAGGAAATTTATAGATTAATGACGGATATATTATTTAATTCACGAAGAGCTGAGATTTATGACTTTTGCACTAATTTTAATGGTCAATTAATTGGTAATAATAAAAATGTTTAACATTGACTTATTTGATGACGACAAACATAAAACATGATATTGTGTTACATGGTATTAACTCCAAAATAAAATCATATGATTCCACGAGTCCTACAGAGTTCTTTTAAAATTATTTATACTGAAGGGATATATACCCACAGTTAATATGATATTACAAGCAACAATTTAGGATAAAAGCAGCTCCTTTTGGAGGATCATTCATAAGTTACTCACCCTTGCTGAACTACAGATATTACAGGTGTCACTGTAGCTCCAAGAGCTTCCACCAATGCAGCACGATAATAGTTATCTGAGAATCTGTTCTTACTATTGTCATTATATTTGAATAAATCCAATAAAAAGCGAATCACTTCTGGAGGACATATTCCATGTGCATTCCTCAATCCTGCCATTGCAACTGGGATTGTCTGCAAAATTAACACAGTTCCTTAGAGACAATACAAGAAAATAGATTCCTTAAGAATAAGAACCGAAAAATACAAATGTATTAAACAAACATTAAACATTATTATGATCTTGGGTACATTAGATTTTTAAATATTTTTTACCACATGAATGAGGGTGACAATGGTTAAAGGAATTGTTATTGGAAATGGATGGTAAGCAGGAGAAATTAGAGAATCCTGAGAAAATGACCCCATGACCCCATTTTGACCACCACAGATTAGTGGAGATCAACTCCAGTTCAATGAGATGCCTCTCCACCCGAAATGCTCCTTAATGAAGTCTCACACAATTTTCCAATGTATTTTTTTTATATCACATACTTTGAAGGGGGCTTCTGTAACACCAACTGCTAACAGAGAGGGCTTTGGGCATATCACAACAAAGAAATACATTTTTTTTATTTTAAAACTTGTTGTGAAATTTAAAAAACTGTTTAATTCACAAGTGCAAATTAAGAATACTTAAAAAATTGCCAACATATGAACAAAATGTTTTCTCATCCTATTTATTAAAAAATAGAATGTGAGGTACAGCTAGATCCTTTTAGCATCAGGATGGTTAAATTACTTAATAACAAAGAAAGCAATGCTTCCAGCTTGACTCTTTTAGCATTACACTGGTCAAATTTTATAAGAAATAAAACAAAGTTACCTTCTGAAGAAAATAATGATGCAGATTTGTAAAGTTGTTTTGTCTTATGATATGAGGACAGGAAAAAGAACCAAACAATTTTCTAAAGATTGCTAGCATAGCTGGAGGTCCAGCCCAGTTAGCAACCATAGCATTTGCAACCTGCAAATCAATGTTCAAATATCTAAGAAAATTACATTATTAAATAATCTATATTTTAGACTATTTTCCTGTATTAGCATTCAAAGTAAATTTCAACCTTTCATCAAGCACCCACTCTTTTACAAACTAAAAAGTATTAGAATAAATTTTTGAATGAAAAGTAATTTATCATAGGTATAAATAATGATTTCTTAGTTTTGTCTCATGTATCAAAATATTCTGCTGAAACTAGATTAACATAATGGTTCTGAGTTACTTGTCTGCATTGAGATCATTTTCCTCATATTTTAATAAACCCCTAAGCTAAAATGTAGATTCACAAATCTCATTTGATTCTGATCTGAAACTAACAGATATTGACCTATTAAATTTCAGTAACCACACTGCTAATTCTTAATAAAATAGGGGTAACTCGTTAAAATGGACAAATTTTTTGACAATGGTTGAGAATGACAATTTCTGGAAAAGGTTTTTACTGCCTTAGAATGAAACTCTCACATTAATAATTATTAAAAAAAAAACAATAACTTCCTCAATAGATTAAACCCTTCATTACTCAAAGGTCTTTTCATTATATGATTACTCCCATATTAAATTTGACCTAAAAAGTGCTAAAATTATATTTATTATTTTATTAAGGTTCAGATTTCTGGTCCAACGGTTCTATTTTGTATATAGTTGTAATATTGTATTTGAATTAATTAATGACTTTTTGTTGATTCAGCAAGTCATTTGAAAAATTCAGAGAATTCAATGATATGATTATCATCAGACCTTGACCATATTTATATGCGCATTTTGCTGTATCCACAAACCAAAAGATGGAGAAAAAATTGAAAATGTCATTCAAGCTTCAGGTGAGTACAAACCCACAATAGAAGCCGAGAAGGAAATAAAACATGAGAAACAAGTTTTTCATTGTATCTCTGCAACAGATTGTCCTAGGAAGCTGATTTGGTTTGGAATCTATGGCACTTTTTTACTCTTTTTCATATGAGTATCATTATTATCTATTTGCTTTGGGTCAATTTTCACCTCCTTGTTCAGCTATATCCTTTCTATTGAAGTAAAACATTAAAATGCAGCATGCCCACTGAAGAATTAAAAAAACATGTTTCAATATTTCACAAACAATGAGATTCTTGCCTTTGTAAGACAATGTGCAGCACGACATCGCACTTTATAGTAGCACTGTTCATTTTCAATTGTATCTGTCAGTGCAAGTCGTGTTGCAGGAGTAGGATACCTCTCCAAGGCCTCAATTGCATTCAATTGGGCAGTAACATCTCTTTCATGCCTCAGCTGGTACTGCCATTGGTAATCTGGTTGTTCAATATTCACAGAACGCAGGAGTGTCATGTCTGGATCCAAACGTAGCCACAAAGCAGGCGAATCAGCACTGTTGAAAAAGAAATGAAATAAGAAGTTTTCCATGCATACAATAGGCGAGCATTGATCATCATTTTCCTGACAATATGCTACTGTTGTTTACTAAGACAGCTACTGAAAAAACAAAAGGAAGTAATTGCACAAAATATTACATTCTAGTTCATTCACATTCATAAAACACATTCCACCCAACCAATTATTAACATATGAATATTTAAGACAAATTAGTATGAATTTGAAAGAGTATGAATATTTAATTTTCATTACTCATATATTCATTAAATAATTCTTCATTTCCAAATATTATGCAACCGTTAATTAACATCTCAGTAATAACAAATTACAACAGGTAAATAGTAAAAGTGCACCCATAAAGCAATAATTTTCAATTGCAGTGAAATTAGATTTGGGAATTGCACATATTCAGCTAACCATTTTAGTAAGAAGAAAAATAAGACCATCTTCTAAAATTCAAAAGCGAATATCATTCAAAACATTGTTTAACATAGATTTCAAGATCTACGTTAAATGGGTTTGTAAAATTCATTTCTGAAATTTCCTGCTTTACTGAAAAAGTAAATAATTGCTCAATATTTGTTCTTTGATTTCTGAGTATTTTCATACCAAAGTACAGTAGTTAAGAGATCTTGTTATCTCTCCCTGATACACCAAGGTTTCTAGAATGGGGCGTAATTCACACGATTCACAAAAAAAATTTTTTTTTTGGAGATCTGCACAATTGCTCTTGTTCCTCCTTGTCACCGCTTAAGCAGAAGAGAGCATAGGTGTGAGATAAAAATACATAGGAGCAAACAAAGGAGGAAAAGAGAGAAGGGGGAGGGTTTTTGAGAATAATTTAAGAAAATTGAACATGACCTTATTTCAAGATCTATTTTTGATTGACACATTTCATTAAGAAGAAAAGTTTCTACATTCAATATTGTAGTTGTAGGAAGTTTCCGAAAACCATTTAAAGTTTTGCAATTTTCGAAACTGAAGAAATGTTCTGGAAAATGCATATAGCACCACTTTCTTTACAGTTCTTTCCATCATACCACGAAAAAGAAATATTAAAAATTGGAGTTGTTTTTGACAAAATTTATTAAAAACAGCCTGTTTCACTTAAAACTACTTCAAATGATGTATTGATCAATTTTGGACCTTGACCTGATTTGAACATGTTTTTCGAACAGAGAGATGGAAAGACATTTTGCCGTCAATTGATTTTTCGGTACCAAGGACCCACAAAGCATGGATTCTAACTACAAAACATGTTGAAGTAATTTTATACATACAGGAACAAAATTTATCCACTAAGTTATCAGGGCCCAGCAGTGATCAATTTCTGTCCAAATTTGCTTTCTTACAGCATTACAATACTTTCTTTATACTTTGTAAGTAGTGTATAAGGAAATACAAAATAATTTCTTTTTGTGTTTGTTGGAAACCAAATTATGGCTTTAACAACCATCCTAATAACATTCTTACAAATTTGAAGGATTTTAATATATTTCATAATTTTCTCTGTATTATGTAGTTTGCAAGAAAATCAAAACGCATATAGCCAATGGCAAGAATTTCCTGTGACACTTTATTTTCCATTTTGATTTCATGCTAAAGAGATGAATGGAAAACACACTAACTTACTTTCCTTTTTTTGTAAACATTACTTTTATAAAAGTACTCCATATCTTTACATTAAAAATTAATTAAATTAGACGAGATTCAACAAAATACGTCAGCTTACTCCATTGCACTGAGGTCCATATCAACCTCTTCACTTGTACAAAGAGGAATTTTCTTTTTTTTGTTTCGACGGCTCTTTGAATGGCATGTAATATCTGCCTTTGCCACAGTACCTTCCACTTGCAATGTGTGTTGAAATGTTCCATCTAGTTCCTGGATGGTCACAAGGAGTGGTCCCACATACTTACGGATTCCTCTCTGCTGAGTGGCATCCTGGCGGATTTCTAATTCTACTGTGTTTCTGAAAGTGGAAGCACAGATTTTACAATGAGAACCTCTGAAACTACAGACCTTCAAAATATATTACATTAACATTTGCATTTAAAAAGTAAGTGTATATACCTCTTTCTATTGAAAACAAAACTCATATTAAATTTGGCATGACCACCAGTTCGAACCCACTGGTCAACGAACACAGACATGTCTTTTCCCGTAACTGTGAAAATAGCTTTGGCAAACACATTTGTACTTATTAGCATGTGGTTCCATAAACCACTACTGATTTTCTGCTGAGCAGCATTTGAGGCAAGCGACAACTGCTTGTTGAAAACCTATAAAATACAGATTACTTATATAACAAATCTGGTCAGTCATCCCCTCCACGATACATCGGCAAATGAGCACCCTGTGGAAAGAGTAGCCGACCATCATGCATTGGTGTTTTGAATAGTTACAACCATCATCAGTTTGGACGCTTGCAACAAGCTGATTTGATTTATTTATTGTCAGAGGAGTTTTGTGCACATTATCTTCAGCTCCAAAATTTCTACTAGATGTAAGACAAATAAAACAAGGGCATGATCTGGCAGAATGTGACGAAATGGCGTTGCGGTACCATAAGAATAACCATTGAATTATATTACAAATTTATAACTAATTCTATTAAATTAATGATTAATTTGAGGTGTGTTTGGGAACCTAAAATTTTATAAATCAAGAATTGAATAAAAGTATTAATAAATAATAGCATTTGGAAACTGGACACACTCGCTCACACGTAATAGAAACAATTTTTTTCCGGCAAACAAATGACGGATTTTATTTTTTAGTGCTGCTTAAAAAAAAAACAACTAATGGTGCTACAGAATGGCACAACTTTCTCATACTATTTAGTTTTCTCATTTCTTTGGTCTGGTCTCACTTTTCGGACTTGCCCCATCTTCTTGCGAGCTACCATCTATTGTCGCCAAAAGGACATTTTCCCTCTCAATTTTTCGGTTTCCTAATTCGTCCAATAATGATATTGCTATTGAAAACTATGGAGTCTATTTTAAGAAAACAGCATTTAAGTGTTACTGCAAATATGAAATATTCAGCTCTTTTTCACAAAAATCTTTTTGAGTTTTCGAAAAACTTCATTTGAAGTCATATGCAGCACTTGCACTTACAAATAAAATAATCTATGCAAATTGCTGGAATTAAATGCATCATATTAAAGGCATCAGAGATATTTAAAACTACTGGTGCCAAAACACAGCATGTAGTTTCTCACCTGTATTTTCACGCAAAATTATAGGAAAAGTACTCACATTTTCGAAGAAATGTTCATGTCCTTATTTCAAAATCTACCTTTAAGGAACACATTTCATTAAGAGGAAAAAAATTTTAATATATTAAAATCAATCACGGGAGTGAAGAGAAGGAGTGACCGAAATCCAGTGCATTTTGCAGCTTGTGCATTTTTAAGTTGAGCATTTTTCAGATAGAATAACTACTGCTGCTACAGCAGCACTTACTTGCTAGTATTATTTCTAACTTTTACATTTTTTAAAATTTCAGAGAGTTCAACAATAATTAGATTTGCGCCCCTGTTTAGGTGACCTTTGTTCTATCTAAGCAAAAAATTATAATTTCTATTGCTTCATATGAAGCCATGTAAAGCTAATCTAATGTTGGCTCAAGTTACTAGTCTTCGTGGTAGGTTACATACCATTCATCTCGGGATTCAACTTTTTATGGAAGTCTGCCAACTCCCCAATCCTTGAAAATGTTCATAAAAACACATTTTCATAACCACTGCCTTGCTCACAAGACATTGGCATTGACTAAGCAAGAAACATATCATGTGCCAGGGATAATAAATTGCTAACATAGCTTTCTAAAGTGAATCAAACTTACCTGCAAAAGTAATTCCTGCCCAATACGATGCTCTAACATTCTCATCACTAAGTGAGCCTTCTTCTGTAGAACTTGAAGGTAGCGTGGGGACATGGTGTGCAGGTTCCGAATGGGGAAATAAAAGCCTGGGTCATGTGCTCTGGGAGGAGGGGCGGGGGCGGCAACGGTCGCGGGGAGGGGGGCGGGTGCTTGGCTGGGGTCCAGCACAATACCTCCGAACGCTTCTTCATACTTGACCACCTCTTGCAATTCCTGAAGAAATAGAAAGTATTCAAAGGTAACATGTGACGGGCAGACAGCTGTAGCTTTCATTTTGCACAATTCAATGTGCTCCATTGAAATCATGGGCATTCAAGTTACTCAGCCAAAAGCTAAATGAAAACCATTAACGCAGTTAAGTTTCAGAGAACAGGAGTAGGCCTTCTGGATCACTTTCAAGGAGTTTGATAAATGATTTTTGACAAATGTTTGACGAATGATTTTTATCAAAAGATGCTACAAAAATATGGCTTTTTTAGCATTTTTTTAACCACATGAATTTTCTAACCCAGACAAGTCATTTAAACAGTGAATTTTTCCAAAATTAAATTAACAGATTGTTTTGCTACATTCAATGAAAAGTTTCATATATTTCTTGAATTTCAATTTGCCACCCTCCCCACAATTATATTTACTACAAATGAAATCAATATGCACTTCTACATTAAATTATCACGAAAAAGACTTCATGCGAATACTCTAATTTTTATGACAATATATGTTTTTCACTTTACAAATTAAGTACATATTCAATTCTTTGATACATTCTGCCATACTCACAGACTGAATCCATTCCCGATATTCGTTATTTCCAAAACTTTTCTTTGCATAAAGGCCACAGAGGTATGTTGCGATGCCTTTGGGAAGCCAGGTATCTGACCAATGTTGCATGGATATGAAACACCCAAAAAACTGCTCAGCAATCGCTTGTGCCATTGCTTTTCGGGTGATATATGTCTGATCAATGATAGCTGGGGAATGTAATAAATTAGTGCTGAAAAAAAATTCTAAAGTGAATTCAGACCGAAACACACAAGTTAAATTTTATAGATATTCATGAAAAAGGGAATTACCAAATAAATTCAATACCTGAGAATGCTCATAGTTGCGTAAGCTGACACATCCTCATCAACCTCATCTACAAACACTTGCTTGTAGCAGGAATAAGGGTACCTATTGGCTAATGTTTCTTCGTAATATTCAAATGCTTCATGCATATATCGTGCTGATACTTTTAATGATGGCATCAATTGAGGCAAACAGAAGTGAGTTACTTCATGCATATAAGGATCAACAAAAATTTCGAACGGTCTGGAAAATAATAATCATCAAAATAATTAGTGTTATTATATAATTGCAAATACATTATCGTATTGTATTGATTACAAAGTCTTCTCACAATCCAACTTCTATTACTTCAGCCATTACCTTCAAAACGCTCACTACTCTTCTACAATGGCACCACATTATGTCTATTTAACAATATATAAAAGTATGCATAAATGCTTCAGCACAAAAATGATTCTGTGTGTTGAGACCCAAGTATTTATATGAGCCCAGGTAGTCTCTTTCATACTCTTACAGTGGAATTTTGACCCAAAATATGTCGATTTTAAAAATTACGCCATTCTGATTCTCATGTTTTACACAATCTCATTGGTATCATGACTAAACGTGATTATAGCAATCAAGAAGGCTGTGATAAAAATAAACGCAAGAATAGGTTTTTCAAAGTTTTGCTGTAAATACAGTAGTGTTTTCAGATGCACATTTGTAATGATTTAAGTACAATGAATTGTTTTCAATTGAGATACTGTTATGATCTGCATAAACACTGTAATTTTATATTTAATTTAATTATTATTTTGATATTTTTATGATTATGGTTTTTCTTAAAATTAAGTGTACAATATTAAAAATTATTTGAAAACGGTTGACGGGGAGGTTTGACCCAAATTTGCAGAGAGGTATGAAGTGCAAATTGATTAATTTTATAGCCTGAGGTTAACCAGAGAAAAAAGGTGGAACTTAAAACCATAAAAACTGTTGTGAAAAACATTCTTAAAGATGGTAATAGTGTTCAGACAAGTACTCTGAATACAACATAGGCAGGAGGAAGAACTCTCGGATGTTATGTGGAGAAGATTCAAAGAAGGAAAATGACAGAATTAACAGCCAATTACAACAGTTTTCAGTTCGTATTTACAAATGAGGAAAAAGCAGAAATGTTAACTAATGTTTTGTTTAGTTAACTAAATATGCTCATTAATAACATGAAAAAATTTTGATTATCCTTATGTTAATAGCACATGTGCAATAAAAACTTCACATCAACCAAGGATTCTGAAAAGGAGCGAAATCATTTAATTAAGACACTAGAGAAATACATAGCAAAGTTATTTCAAGTCGGCCATGAAACATGAACAAAAACGTACATTACAGATCAAGTATCTACAATGACTCCATCCAAAGAACGAATGAATAAAACTAAACTGTGGAAGTAAACGTTAAGTTAGCTGCCTAATCGAACAACATAAGATATTTAAAACTAAATGAATAAATTACATGTTTAACATGTAAAACATTTGATCTTAGGATTACGAATGTAAAAAATGTAACGCTAGTTGTGTTTAACTATTCTAAAAAGCAAAACAGTCAGAAGTGACTACTTCTTTTGTTTTTTATCAACATTTATACATCTTGTATTCTCTCTCATACCCGTCTTTACTTTTTGTGGGAAGTAATGTTTTCATGACTTCTTAGCTTCTAATATTTTATCAGCAATATGTTCAGTACCTTCTATTCAAATATTTCTTGCAAACAAACAATGCAAGACCCACTAAAATAAATCTTTTCAGAAGCAATTACGTCATCGAATTGCGAAATACCTCGAAAGGCAAAGATGTGCTTGAATTTCTCAAAATTTAAATTCTTCTTAAGAGGAAATGAAAAAATATTGAACATAAGACGTGTATAAAGGGTGCATTCGTGGTATATAAGAAAACTCGCTGCATCGTCGCTCGTTTTCTTGAACATACCAGTCATGAAATTATCCTCCTCTTTACACACTCATTTCGTTAATTACTATTATGATTTAAAAGTATGGTGTGGCTTTAAAAGATCTTCATAGGTTTAGTTTTGTCTATTCTGTTGCTAATGGAAAGAATGTTTCTAAAGATTGACACAAAAATCAAGAAGTTAGTAAAAGACTGCAAAAGAAGCTGAATTGCCACAAAGAAAGACTTGCCCTAAGACATACTCAAAGTATGAGGCTGGGGAAAGCATCAGCTTTCAATGAAAACCAGTATGTGAATTTTTTCAAATTTAATATCTCTAAATGAAATATTTTCATTGGGATCAGAATCCATTTATAATCTTGATGAGACAAAAGTCACAACTGTGCAACAACCTGCCAAGGTGATTGTAAATAAATGTGAAAAACAAGTTTAGAGAGACAACTGATGAAAACGGGCATCTTGTGACAACCAGTTGCACAGGATGTACTGTGGGATTTTCTGTCCCACCATTTTGGAGACAAGGAAAGCATGAGTGGATGCGCAAGGGTTCTCTCAAAGACCAGGAGAAGACTTTGATGGGAAACAGTCGTTCTGAAGTGGATAAGTTCTGTTCATTTAGTAGAAGTAAAAGCTGAGCAGATTTGTATGACAACTGAACAGCTTTTCTGAATGATGACATTGAAAAACATACCTTTGTGGAGCCTCCAGAACATCTTGACGGCATCTTGGAACATCTAGTTTGGTCACAAACCGAGGAGACTAGGATTGAAGAGGTTATGAAATTGCTAGAAAAGCTGTGAAGAGGTGACATGGTATGTTGTCTTGGCTATCCGGGACAAAACGCGTTACTGTCATGGTGGCTAACGTTTTGGCCAGCCTATTGTGGCCTTTTTCAGAGCATACTGCTGGCCAAAACATTAGCCACCATGACAGTGACGCGACTCATCCCGGATAGCCTAAACAACATTAACTCCAGCCGCGGAAGCTTACCAGCAACCAGGTGACATGGTAGGTTCACTGAGGTACGGTCTGTACCAAGTGAGTCGTTCTTGGTAATATTCAAGACTGAACTTAAGAGGTCTTCTGACTGATCCATGCACGCATGTCATTGACTTTACTGATGACTATGTACTTTCTAATAGTTTACATACATGACATTTTCATTACGTCATGTAACAATGTTATCAGCAAGATAAAGGATCAACATAGTAGTGTGTTTAATGTGAGTTAAATGATGACACTGTGTAACACACATTAAGTGTAAATTACTTTTTATTTATTTATGTATTTACTAAATAGTGAATTGGAAGGGCAATGATGATAATGCTCATAATAATAATAAAACAAAGATACATATGAGAAAGAAATACAAAATTTATAATATAAAATTACAATTTAGTAAATAGAAAAGAATTGAAAAGAGAGCTAGAAAAAAAGGAAACCATGGTCAATATGAAAAGTGATCAACGACTCTATTTGAAAGGAAAAACATACATGAATTGCACAAAACATTGTCTTTATCCAATTTGTTATTGTGTCCACAAAGATGGAAGTTGGTATTGCAGAAGCAGAAATCATCAAAACCTGGACAGTTATAGTGACCATTAAGTATTTTGTATATTTCAATGAGAGATCCCTGAAAAACCCAGACATTAACTGCTGACAGGTGGAGAGCTGGAAGTCTCTGTGTGTGACAAATGCCTCAGGGCAGGAACATATCTTTATTTCCTTAGCACATTAAGAGAGCCAAGTCCTGGGTGAAGTACAGCCCCCAGATGCAGTGACCAAATTCAATTATTGGCATAATGTATGTAGTGAAGATGTTACAGAAAAGTTGAGTCATCAGGTGCTTCAAAGCTCGGTTGATCAGATAGGAGATTGGCGTTTTTCATCATATATTTTTAGGGCAAAGGTATGGGACAAGATTGTCAGCAATCAAAGGAACTATATTCATTGTGTAATGGAGAGGATTGGAATGAGTGAATACACGTTTGTGATGTCTGATTGTGCACACAAATTGCCAAAGGATGTCAATGAAACAAGGAAGGACTGTACTCTGGTTTCATACCATGAGCTGAATGGGATCTTGATGTACTTTGTGGTGGGAACTAGATCCAAAAGAGCTCATCAGGTGAGCTACAGGAGTCGATTTAATTACTGTTGCAGTTTTGAACACTGGAAAGCTGGGAAGTATTTTCTTCATAACATGTAAGGATCATTAAATAGGGGGCTAGTGTTTGAACCTTTTTAATGATCGCCCCACAATGTTTACTGATGCTGGGTTGCTACTTAGACAGTATTGATAGGTCCTTCACAGGATACACAGCTATCGTTTTAAGCAGGAGTGCTGCAGTTTGGATCTCCAGGTATTATAAGAAGTGACAAAGGAGTCAGTATCCAAGAGGCAACTCCTGAAAACGCTGTGAGCAGTGTTGCATAGTGTGCATAGCTGAAGTGATAAGTAAGTTTCTGAGTAAGTTTCTGTAAGTCCACAGAAAGTAGCTATGCACTAAGCGTACCATGCTCACAAAAAAGAACAATGACATAAGGCATACTTTGAGCAAGATGCTGTGAAACAGGGACTGGTGACATCAGAGAGTGTCTACTACAGAATATCTGCTGACATTATGACAAAGGGATTGCCAAAGGCAAAGCATGACAAAGCGATGAACTTTACAGGCTTGGATCTGTGTGTTACAGTGACAAATGAGTTGCTGTGGCTTGAGGGGAATTATTGGAAGAGTAATGATTGGTGAGCCATACAATATGTTGATGATTTTGGTTGGATAAGTGGAGAACCATGTGCTGTGAGCAGAGAAAATTCATTTTCCGTTGCATTTAGTTTGGCTAAAGGCAGTCTGTGCACATTGCATCCTGTTATGTAACGTTCAATGTAACTGCTGATAAAGTGCTCTTAACCCAATAAAGTGTTTTCTGTTCCACAATTTTTTATAATGATGATGATGATGATGATGATGATGATGATGATGATGATGATGATGATGAAAATACCAGTAATACATGAACAATCCAATTATTACGTACTGACATACTGAGAGCAATGATAGGGTGCATTAATGAAAATTCTATGTATACCTTTCTTCTTCAGATCTTATGAGAGGAGAACATGAACTCACCCCACAGCAAGAGCAATGTTGGGTGCACAGGTGGGAGTCTGCAGGACATAATGGAATGTTTTGCGCCGCATATCTGGGGTATACACAACTTCTATAAGATCTCCACAAGAAACAGCAGTCATGCTTTCATCAACAGTAAATTCTAACTTCCAAGTACAAACTTCTGCAAAGCTATCAACACATGGAAACCAAAGTCTTGATGAATTTTCATGTCCATAAGTGAACATGTGAGCTGCACGCTGAAAAAATATACTTGAATTATTGACTGCTATGTAAGAACACAATCAAAGGAAAACAGATATTAAAGTATAAACACTACATATTTTGATAGTTGTGATTACCTCAGCTAAAGTTCCTTCGCAGTCTGGAATAACAAAATGTATCCCACCTTGGGGCTGCTCAAGGGAAAACTCAAGACCTACTCTAAGGCCTCTTCCTTCTCCAATGAGTTGACTAGCTTCAGATGGAATAGTAATAATTAATTCTCCAGCATTATTATCAGGATCAATTTGTTGGGCAGCACTTAAATGTGAGTTTGAGAAGTATTCCAAGGAACGCCTAAACACAAAAGGCACCACCAAGAAACTATTAAGACAGAAGCAGCATTCACATCAAATGCAAACTACACATATTTAAATTTATATACTGTTTAAAAAAATACAAAACTCACTGATTAGGATCTCCTTGACAGATATCCAAAAAAGGATCAAAGTACTGGAATGGAGCTTCATAAGTATCATTTAGAAGAACTCGATATACCCGGCACTGTTTTGCATTCAATTTTATTGTTTTCAGGTTATCTTTCAAAGGCACAATAGTCAATTCTGAAAATCCCTAGAACACAATAACATTTTTTGTTTTTGTTTTGTTTTTTTAAGGCACAATAATCAGTTCCAAAACTCCCTAGAACACAGTAACATATTTTTTATTTTTTTAAATTTAAACAGGGTAATAAAACCTTTGTGACCAGTATCAACACACCAGTATCACAAAGCTGTACATGTTAAACTCAAAATCGTATTTGGGGAGACTCTTTTAATGCAAATCATGGTAGAAATGTTTGGAATTGCTGTTTGATATTTTGCTATTTACAAGGGATAAAAGCAAAACATAATTTATCAAAAAGTCCATAATAATGCATAAGGCTAGTGAAATTGAATCAATGTCACATCTCCAGATACAAAGCACCAGGAAAGATTCTTTGCAGTGGCACCTTGCTGGAGATAGTGCTAGCAACAGAAGTTCTGCAGGAAACATGAGCTGCAGCTTGTAACACAAGAAAACATGAATTGCGTACTCTTCACAATCATAACAGCTGTTGGAAGTGTTCTCCCCTTCACTTGTTTCCCAGTGATCTGGCTGCTACCAACATTCCTGCAATTATTAATAGGAGACCCCGACTCGGCTCAGGGCAGAGTGACTTTCCTTGTGCACTATATATTGAAAGCTTTTATAGTATTATATACTAAGGATTTCACAGAACTGTGCAGTGTCATTATTCCTAAACCAACTGTTAGTGCCATTGACATTAATTTGGCAATTTGTGCACATTATAATTGTAAATACTATTAAGCTGAAATGATGGTCAAAGATGACAGACAAAACTGTCAGCATAAATTGGAATAAAAGTTATTTATAAATTATAATTAAATTGTTTCAGAGCTTAATTCATTTAGATTAAGTTTAAAAACAGAGCAATGTTATTTTTATTTTTCCTGCCTGTTTTATAATAAAATTAGTTATCTGAAACAAACACTTTTAAATTCCAATTTACTATTTATGATGTGATGTACAACACTGAAGAACTTTATACAATGAACCTATTATGTGCCTAACGTACAATAATAATAAGAAGAAGAAAAGGGTATTGCAATTGCACAGGTTTTCTAGACTTTCAGAACCCCTGCACATGCAGTTACCGCCGGAGAGGTGTGACATGCCAAATCCCAAAATGACTTACAAAAGAAAAATTGCACAGCAAAATTAATTCATCACATGAGATTCCATGTGAGTAACAGTCATGTTTGGTCTGATGTCAATCCAAAGTGCGAACTGATGGGGTGAGTGTGTATTGTCCCCTCCTTGAACATTTGATGTCCCAGCAGGAAAAGTATTAATTTGTGTAATTATATACTGAATCCCTATATTAATTTATATTTCCTCATTGAAATCTGCAAATCAGAAAAATAAAACTTTTTCCCAAGAACATTCTTCAAATTTATTCATTCTGGGCTGTGTGAGTGAAAATGGTCTTCTTTCAAACCCTTAATTCCAAGTGAAAGCCCTCTCCCCTTTGCAAATGGAGAACATCCTCTTCTGTAGGACATTGTCAATACGCTTTCTTTGTAATTCAGTCTCCAAAGAAGCGAACATCAGAAACTCCAATGAAACAAAACAGTTTGAAAAATTGTTTCATTGATATTTTCGAAAGAAACCATTTAAAAATTAATAATAACTAATATGGTTAAACTAATAGTCTCTCACTCATCAGGTCTGAAAAACAAACATGTTTCAATAACCAAGAATTTTGAAAGCTCTTTCTTTACTGTTGAATACCTTCTCGCTGAATCCAACAACCTCACTAGGTGAATCAAATCAAAGAAAAGCAACTTATGATTGTGTCAGGCTGATTACTAACATTTGGCAAACGTTTTGAAAATACAATACTCTGCACAATGAGGGGAAGAGGGCAATGGTAGACCCCAGGATGATTTGTAATAGAACTGAAGGACACTGTTTTAAATTTAAGAACAACTGAAGCATAAATTTACATGTTACAATAATCTGCAAGCTTATGTTTAATTATTTTCAGTTTTTAACTTTGGCAAGGGCATAAATATTTTAAACATATTATATTTAAGTGGCCCATTCTGCGGAGTAAAAAAGGAAAAATAGGCAATATCTACTTTTCTTTTGAAGAAATAGTACAACATTCTCTAAGTTCCTCTATTTGTGCAACTATTATCTACATCAAAAGAAACAAAAATAAGATTGCAACACATTTGCGGGCAATCCTGGGTGAATATCAGAATTTCCAAATACCAATTACTCATAACAAGGGTTACAAATCTGTTCTCATGTGAGAAGCTGATCTGAAAGTATTAAAAGACTGCCATTTCAGACAACAGAAAGGCTCTAATAATAAAAGTTCACAAAGCAGAAACAAAAAGCAACAAACCCGAGGTCCACCAGAGACCTCCCTCACCTTAATGGTACACAAATGTCAATTTTGTTTTGTTGTTGATATACTTACAATTATACTCTGCCTTTGAAAGTTTATTCCAGTGAGACTCACAATTTGATGAGCTGTAAGAAAATTAAATATTTTTATAAGACAACTAAATTACAAACAATGTTTATCACAAGTATAATCAAGATACTTATAATTTAAAAGGTCTTATTTTATCTAATGATTTTCCCTTCTTCATTTTCAAAGAATTTTTGTTTTGTGTTTTTAAAACTCGTCTACACGAGCTTAAAATTCAATGTTTATAGCACTGTCATGTAACAACTCGAATTTTTAAATCTTAACACTTCATGAGTGACTTCAATTTTCACTCAGATTCTTCACACATCCCTAGATTGTTCATTTTCTTCAATCATTTTCATATTTCGAATCGAATCTAATACACAAAGAATCCGATTTCTAATCACACACCAAGTGACACCTAACTCTACACACTATAACAACAAAAACCATCAAGCGCATTTCTGTTTTCATCTGCAGGGGTGAAAACCTTATTTCGTAACTAGCTGGCGACCAGTGTAAATATCAGAGAGTATGCAGCGTATAATTGTCATGACTCCGATTGGATTACAGTGACGTCTGATACATCGGCTATGGCAAGGTCGCCGAATCGTGAACTTCAATGCCAAACATTTCGTCACAAAGCTCGTCATTAGTTAAACCATCACCACCTAGATATACATCTATCTAGGGGGTGTTGCATAAACTCGTCACAAGGAAATTTATCACTATTTAAACCAAAGTGTACGTTTGCTTCAAAATTCTCCGCTCATGGCGTCCATAGCCAGAGGCGTGAAACTTGGCGGTCAAAACGGGGTAATGATTTCTGCGCCATCTACTGTAGGCTCGTAGTGCCGAACTAAACATGTGACGTAATGCAATTCAAAAAGCTGGCAATGAAGGTGGCGTTTTTCGTTTGCTGCGTGCAGGCAGATGCTCTTTTTATCCAAATTTTTCAGCATTTTGTTAGTATGTAGAATTTCATGCCTTTTAAGTAGAGTGAATAGTGTCGCGAAATTTATTTGCCATGTCTAAAACTTTGTTTTCGGTATTTTGGAAGAAGATATTAAGAAGACAGATGGTAGACAAAAACATTGCTAGGAGTTTTGCCCTACCAGCAGTGGAAGTATTTATAATTTATTTTGGAAACTTGTTGCATAATTTTAATTGATTATTTCATTTGTGAGCATTGTGGGTCTTTTTCGTTGTTTCTCTGAGGATACAATTCATGAACAAATTCAAAATGATGGTGTTCCAAGGTCAGGAGCTAAGATAAGTGAAGATTTTAATTTAAAGAAATTGACATCAAATAAATGAACAGATATCAACATTCCAACAATTAGAAAATTGGATCAATTTTTCATTTTTGTTTCCTATTACTAATATGAATTTTCGAAATAATGAGACATTTATATCATTTTTCCCGTTTTTCATCTACGTATTCACCTGAAATATTCATTAAAATTGTTATATGTAACCAAGAAATTATGTAATGGTCTACAGATCCCCGTTTATTGGTCAGATTGTAAATTTTCTACTATAAAAAATATCTATTCTATAGAAGTGAGGTTCTGTCTTACCAAATGTATCAAATGGTGCATATTTAATTAATTTTATTAATACTTACAATTTTATTAACTTTTATAATATTTCATACATAATTTACTAAATGAAATCTTGGCGATTTATGTTTTTCAACCATCGTTCATGCATCTGTTGATTTTGGGGAAGCTTATGAAAGGGCATCCTTCAAGAGGCTGAGCACCCTCTTTACGGAACCCATCTTCTGCAAATAATACAATTAATTCTTTGTAGTAAATCATAAGAAAAGCAGATAATACTCATGGATATACCCTACACCAGCCCTTTAGCACAACTTTGCTTTGAAAATGCGCGCCAAAATGCAACAGCTGCGCTATCTGCACCAGGCCCGTACCTGAGGAAACAAAGTTCGTCCCCCCGCCTTTTAACATTGAGTGAACCGGCTCTGCTGATGGCGCCTATATCTATTACGTGCTGTACATGCTTGAAGTATACAATCGTTAACATAAACTCGAAATTGAAGTTATTCTTCATGCCGTGGAATTATCAAGTGTTTTGAAGTCATTAAGGATTTTCATTGAACATTGAATGTCCGGATGCTTCTCTAAACCATTGATATCATCCGTCCAGTGTCGTGAACAGTTTGTAGTGCAAGAATGTCTGCAGCTTGCGTGTATGGACCATGCAAAACTTTAGTTACAACTGTCCCCAAAATGTGGAAATTATCCTCCAGTTGCAACATGTGTGCATTTGGTATTTTAATAAAAAGTAGACTGTACAATTCTATGAGTGCATGCAGCATTTTTGTGAAGAAAGTCAAACAATACGACAGACCTTTGGTATTATGTAGCCTCTCCCGGTTTTTGAGAGAACGAACCACGGGATGTCCGTCAATCTGTCGGACATTTACGTCCAGTAATGCGGTATGCGAGAGGCACAACATTTGCGACAAGAAAACCTTGTTGGAGTCGAAGTCCAATAAACTCCAAGGTGTTCTTAAAGAAAGGAAAGATCGAATTAAAGTGAGCGGCCAAATACTTCTAAATGATATTCGGGAAACAAAAAATAAAATGAAGGAAAAAATGGAAGAAGTAATTGAACGTGAAAACGTGTTTACAATCCCAAATTTTCTCTGTGTATCTCGAATAATAATATCTCCATACTTAGGTTATGTTATTATTCAATCTAATTTTCAACTTGCATTTGGATTGTTTGTTTTTGCAGGAGTAACTGACTTAATTGATGGTTGGGTGGCCCGTACTTATCCTAGTCAAGCTACAAAGATAGGCAGTTTTCTTGATCCAATGGCTGATAAAATTCTAGTTGCTATATTGTTTGTGACATTGACATACATAGAATTAATTCCAATTCCTTTAACAATAATGATTATTGCAAGAGACTTGTTGCTTGTGATAGCAGGATTTTATATACGCTACCAGTCTTTGCCTCCTCCTAAAACCTTGCCTCGGTACTTCGATGTCACTCATGCTACTGCTCAACTTGCTCCCACGTTTGTTAGCAAAGTAAATACAGTTGTACAGTTGAGTTTAGTTGCCACAACATTAGCATCTCCAGTTTTTGGAGGTGTAAATCCAGAGGTCATTCATGGGCTATGGTATTTAACAGCAGCAACGACTGTAGCATCTGCTTGTAGTTACATTTTTTCTAGAAATACATACAAGTACTTGAAACCTAAAAAACAAGATAAATAGACTGTTATGTATTTTCTTGTAATTAATGTTATTTTTTGTTATTCAATTTGTGAAAAGTGCTCTTGTAAGTATTATCAGAGTTTTAAATACACTTATATATTTACATTTTTGAATTTTAATAAATATTTTTCATATATTATCCTGTGACAGCTTCAGTGAAAAATAAAAGTGATCTAACTTTGTTCCCTTTTTTTAGAAGTGTGATTAGAAAAGGGGCAGATATTAATGATATGTCATTTTTTTCCCTTTCAGTTTAGAGAAATGCCATTTAGTACAGAAATTCGTTTTATTTTATGACAAAACAAAATGACCCTTTTTTATAAATCTTTTTTTTTATTTTTTGCATTTATCATTGATTTAGACTAATAAGTAATTTTGTACCTTTTTACTGCCTTTTTGCTGATTTCATGGATTTTAATATCATTTTAATGGCACTTGCTTCAAACAATATTTACAAGGTGCAACAAATGTTCACTACAGAATTCTTGAGTAGCTTATTCGATTTCTTCTTTAATATATTGTAATGTCAGACGTTGTGAGTACTATATAATCTAAGGTTCCTGTGATTTTTATCAGTGCCATTGTCAGTTAGGCAGATTTCATGTTTAATAAAGGCAGAGATTTTCTTTTAAAGAACAGTCCAAACCCAAAGCTTGCAAGCCGAGTTCAATTTAACAAAAGGAAGAAGCCTCAATTACATCACTAACATATCCAACAGCTTGAATTGTTCATCTGAAGTGGTTTTGATCAAATTTTTACATCATTTTTCTTTATTGTATTGAGCATTTTTGGCAGTGTTGTAGGTCATCAAAATCCGCCCCCTAGTGATTAGTTTACAACATTATAAAAGTTATTTTTAGAGTAAATTTAACTGCTCTTTCTTAAATTTGCATTATTTCTATTGGTTCATTTCATATGGTAAGACTACTACCACAATGTGCACTTCCATAACATGTCTTGAATA